ATTAGCAGTCTTAATGTGTATGAGTGATTTAAGAGATTTGGTTAGATTAAATCTGTTTTATATTTAATTGGTATATTAGTACGCCTTTCGAATTTAGTTTGGGTTAATTCGAGTAAATATATATTGATAAACATATTTGATTATGTACATAACATATATGTGTGTGGTTGATTTGTGGTTTAGATCAATTTACGGGGGATTATGAGTTGAGTCTGGTTGACAGATCCGGTTCATCAGACTCGTATGCGTTCGGAGTTGATTAATTGAATGGATTTAATAGTTAGGCTTCAGTGGAAGCCTCTGGACCCTCGTGGGTGCAGTAGTAATCCAGGTTGGCATTCTTTTTGACCAGTCGACCAGAGCGCGTCTGGGAACACCCAGCGCAGAGGTTCGATCCCTCATCACGGCTCCTGTGGATTAGTTCATTGATATTTCATGTTAATGATTTCTCTGTGTATTTTACTGGATTTGACACATTTTAGTAACAGATTTATTAGACTTTATTTCCAAATTGCGACAATCTTACTGGTTTGATAGTTATGACTGACTAACTGGCAGAAGGGAAGGGAACTATCCGTAAAGAGCGCCAAGCCATTACGACTATATAGCACTGGGAAGGGGTCAGGATTAGGATTTGGGATGGGACGGGGGAAAAGGAATGGTGCCCAAGCACTTGGACGGTCGGGGATTGAACGCCGACCTGCATGAAGCGAGATGTGACTCATCTAGATTTTTCTTGGCTCGATTTTGCTTATCTGTTGTTTCTCATGCTGGTGTTTCTTAGTTTGAGGTTTCTCGTAGCGTGATGTTTCTCACTCTTGGTGCCACTCAGCTTGGTGTTTCTTTCCTTGTTGTGTCTCATCTTGAGGCCTCGTATGTTGATCTTTCTCGTATTCGTGTTTCTCATCTTGGCGTCTATCATCATGGTTTTGGTCAACCTGTGTTTCTCATCTTGGTGTTTAATATCATGATTTTACACTTCTTGGTGTTTCTCAATATTCTCACCATAATGCTACTCATCATAATTTTTTTTAAATATGAGGTTTCTTAACATGTATCTCATGCGTTCTCATTGTCATCGTGATGCTTCTCATGACACTATTTCTTGACGTGTTGCACATCGTGCTGTTTCTCATTGTACTGTTTTAACGTGAAGTTTCTTATAGTACTATTTCTCATCGCGATGTTTCTCATAGTTCTACGTCTCGTCGCGATTTTTCTCGTCTTCATGTTCCTCATTTTCATATTTCTAATCATCAAATTTCTCTACTTCAAGTTTAATATATTGATGTTCCTCATGTAGATGCTTCTCACATGACAATTTCTCACCTTAATGGTTCTCATCTTAATGTTGCTCGCCTTGCTGCTTCTCATCTTGATATTCCTCATCTTGATGGTTCTCATTTTGATGTTGGTCATATTGTTCTTTCTCATCTTGATGCTGCTCATCATGCTGTTTCTTATCTTACGTTTTCTCATTTGGTGTCTCATTTTACTCATCGATGAACAAATCCACAAGGGCCGTGACGAGGATTCGAACCTGCGTCCGAGAGCATCCCAGACGCAGCCTTAATCGACTGAGCTACGACAGTTTACTCCGATGTTTCTCAGCTCGATGTGTCTCATCTCGATGTTTCTCATATCCATGTTTCTCATCTCGAAGTTTCTTATCTCGATGTTTCTCATTCTTATGTTTCTCATTCTTATGTTTCTCATTCTTATGTTTCTCATTCTTATGTTTCTCATCTCGATGTTTCTCATTTTCATGTTTCTCGTCTCGATGTTTCTCATTTCCATGTTTCTCATCGATGTTTCTCATCTCGATGTTTCTCATTTCCATGTGTCTCATCTCGACGTTTCTCATTTCCATGTTTCTCATCTCGATGTTTCTCATTTTTCATGTTTCTCATTTCCATGTTTCTCATCACGATGTTTCTCATTTTCATGTTTCTCGTCTCGATGTTTTTCATTCCCATGTTTCTCATTCCCCTGTTTCTCATCTCGATGTTTCTCATTTTAGTGTTCCTCAACACGGAGTTGAAAACCAGACAAAAATAGCGTAATGTTACCGAGCATTCGGCCCCAAAATTCGTCACAAGTTAATTTGGCCTAATTGTCCTCATTATAATTAAGCCTCATTTGACTCCAGTATTCTCCTGGACCTGGTGATTGATTCATCATGATTTACTTGAGGGCTGATGAATGCCGAGTCTGCCCCATTGTGGGTGGGGGGGGGGGAGTTTGATGAATGCAGGCGGTATAAAGATTTCTGTGTCCGGGTTATTTTGGGTTGAGTTTTGCGGTTCTATATTGGTTGGGTTGAGTATATTGGTTGGGTTGAGATATGGCAAGGCTGGACTTGATAAGGGGCTGCCCCCGGCAAGGCTGGACTTGATAAGGGGCTGCCCCCGGCAAAGCTGTACTTGATAAGGGGCTGCCCCCGGCAGTGCTGGACTTGATAGGGGCTTCCCACGGGACGTTTTAGTTTGTAGAGATGACGAAAAAGTCCGATTTCATTAGAAAAATGTCCCATTACCTCGTCGCTAGTCAAACCGTTCTTCCCTATTTCCCTACCTGCCATTCCTGTCTTTCACCTACCTATCGCTCCACTCTACCTATCGTTCTTCTCTCCCTACCTTCCTTTACCTGGGATTGAAATGCAAAGGAGAGTGTGATTGAACCTCCACCCCAAGGCGCCGTGTCTGGCTGGTTGCCTTAGATCATGAGCAACACCTTGAAGATCTTTGGTCCTTGTGGATGCTCTGGTTCCTTGACGGTGTCTAGGATGCTGTAGACAGTGTGAGTGTGTATTTTGTTTTTTTCGTTCCGTTAGGTGTCGTGGATATTAGCCTAGTACTCTCTCTCTCTCTCTCTCTCTCCAGTTTTCCTGCATATTCTCTCCCTTTACGTCCTTTCCCTTCCCACATCCCTCCATCCCCTCCCATTCCCGCCTCTTTCTTCCCTTCTACTAGTTCCCCCTTCCCTTACCTGGGTCACCGTCAGTCTCCTACCGATCAATAAGCTAATTTATACATTGGTCAATAATCCAATAGAGCAATCGTCAGTCTTTAAAAGGTAATATCCTGGGGGCCAGCTGGAGGGGGTAGACAAGACGGTCTACCATCTTACTTCCCTCTCTTTTCCGCATTTGTCTTCTTCCTCAATTGCCTTCTCCTTCTTTCTGTTCCTCCATTTTCTTCTCTCCATCCTGCTTATCCTCCTCCTTACTGCTGTCTTATCCTCCTACTTCCTCGTTAATCCTGCTTCCATCTTCCGTTTTTTCCTCCTTCCTGTTCCTCCTCCTTCTCCCATATCCCTCCTTCCTCCTCATTTTTTCTCCTCTCTCCTCATTCTTCCTCCTCATTCTTCCTCCTCCTTCCTCCCACAGCTGATGAGTGGCGTCTATATTAGTGAGGTTCGCTTTTGAAGGGAAGTGCTGCAGGTAATTCACATTGTTGTATATGTATCTCTGCGGTGTTGTGTCTGTGTGTATGACTGTAGTGTCATCTGCGTGTGGTCTGTGTTCCGCTGTATGTGTGTATGTTCAGTGTATGTCTGTGGTGTTATATGCATGTCTGTATGTCCAGTGTATGTAGATCCAATGGTGCTATATTCGTGTGTATGAATGGTACCTAGTGTGTGTGTGTGTGTGTGTGTGTGTGTGTGTGTGTGTGTGTGTGTGTGTGTGTGTGTGTGTGTGTGTGTGTGTGTGTATGTGTATGTATGTAGGTTTGTATATATATACAATGTCCACTGTAAGACTTTATAACAACTGTATATCTGTATTTATCTTGTATATACCCACTGTATATCTGTATGACCATATATGTATTTTTAACTTGCCATTCGTCATTCATTACGTCGGCCGAGTAAGATTATAAGAGGCGTCAGCATAGGCTTATAATGTCGAGGTTCATAGCGTCACGTTGATTGGTCGACGGCGTGGAAACTCATTACCGGTCTTTTTGAAAGTCCTCGCCTGATTGGTCGTCAGAGGTTGAAGCCCCGCCCGCATAGACTATTTGAAATGAGGGAAGTTGCCTGAGTGCTCTTTGAAAAAAATATGTATACGGAAATGCAGCGTTAAGAGGGAAAAAATCTTTGACAAAAGCGAAATTCCGATAATGTTGATTTATGCGTTAATTCCCAGATTAGCGAGCCTTTGATCTCGTTCGCGAGTGAAGCCTATAAACACGGGGGGGGAGGGGGGGAGGGGCGTTATTCATAATATTTTTTTTACTTTCAATTTTTACATATATTTTCTCGACTTGGAGCATAAATAATATTTAGAAAATATTGAGGCACTATAATGGGCTCGAAATATCATAATTTTAAACATTTTTTTCTCGTGGACTGTCTTGGTGTACTGACGCATGCGCACGCACACTATTTTACAAATGTGTGTTGGATCAGCTAATATATATGTATATGCAATAAATATTATATAGGGTAATATGGATTAAATTTAATACATTTGGCATTGGACTAGGCGCCATTCATCACGGTAATGGCAACAGCGGACTCAACAGGCAATGTTGCCGGGAGGAATTTAGATTTATTCGCGAGTTACATTAGTCCTTTCCAATCCTCTTTGTCTAAAGCGAAATGTTAATCAGACAAATTGGGGGAACATTTCTGGCGTGTGATTTACAGTCATTCTTCCTCGACGTTGTCTGATTCATTTCCATCTATATATACTCTCCTTCTACCTCTTTCTAAATTCCCTCCCCGGTCTTCCCTCCCTTTAACCTCTTACCCTTTCTCCAACTATTTACCCTCACTACGTACCTTCCAGCCTACCTCCTTTCTCTAACTCTCTCTTATCTCCCTCCCTCTCTCCTTCCCTCCACCATACCTCCATCACACAACCCTCCCCTTCCTCCCCCTCCATAATTCTTACACCATCTTCCATTTCCCTCCCCATTCCTCTTGCCCCCTTCCCCCCCCCCCGTTCCCCTTTCAGAAAGTAAAGTGGTGTCGTGATAACTGTTGATAACACGATGATTACCGAGATTGTGATGGATCTTATTCATCTTTATCTACAAACGAGAATGCTTGTTTATGGTCGGGGGTCAGATGTGGCTGTTATCCTCGTACAACTTCCCATGGTGAATTGTGATTGTATGAGGAGTGTCATAGGGTGGTTGGGGTCGACCCCCCCATACCTCCCCCTTTAAGTAGGATTGGGTCCTGTTGCGACTAGCATCGACTCCCTTAAAGTCTGAAATGGGGGTTTGATTGTCCATTGGAGTGTTTCCCAACAGATTCTACAGACTCTGTTGGTAAATATAGACTCTTTTTGTTCAATTGTTTGCAGGCAACGAGCTCTCCCTCCCACAGCTCTGTGTTTGCAGGCTAAGAGCCCTCTTCCCACAGCTTTTGACGTACGTAGGTGAAGCATTTACGGAGTTACGATTCAAACAGACGTCGTCAGCAAAGCACTGTTCGAGAAATGTTCGAACGTCATCAGTTGCAAGTCGTGATTACAACTGATGACGTAAGTTGATTGTATATTAGATTAACGAGCATTAATGTTCGAACTCCTTTCGATGAACGCTTCTCTCTCTCTTCAAACTTTCATGATTTGTAAAAAAAAAATTGTATTATGGCGTAAAATTGAAAAATTGGCGTTTTGTAAATGCCAATTAAATACAGCCTCGTGCAGGCGATGAGTCACAATAACGTGGCTAAAGTATGATGACCAGACCACACACTAGAATGTGAAGGGACGACGTTTCGGTCCGTCCTGGACCATTCTCAAGTCGATCTCAAATGCAGCCTCGTATTTTCCACACACACACGTATATAAATCGTTGAAATTTACTATAATCACGCAAAAACTGAATCTTTTTTCATGTTGATCCTGACTCATCTTTCTCCTCTGCCACAGGTGGTCCAGGAGTACGAACGAGCGGTCATCTTCCGCCTCGGTCGACTCCTGAAAGGTGGCGCCAAGGGCCCCGGTATATTCTTCGTCGTCCCTTGCATCGACTCCTACAGGAAAGTCGACCTTCGTACTGTCTCCTTCGACGTCCCGCCACAAGAGGTAATGTCCACTGATAGTTGTACCACCAGATGGCCGTAGCTGCCACATCATTCTATTGTTATGAAGGGCGTAAGGTAACTAGGGGTAGTGGTAGGCAGTGGTAGAGGAGAATAACTTTAGATTGATATGATTAATGGTCTTAACGTTATGGCCGTTAATTGGGAGAGGAGGGACAATTGGTGGGAATAATTGGTGAAATTTGGGGGAGTGATAGGCGAAGTCCGTTGGACTTTTAGGTGAATTTGATAAGAAGAATATTGGTAGAAATAGGTAAAATTGTAGGGATAATAGCCAAATTGTTATGAATAATAGGTGATTTTTAAAGAATAATGAGTATGATTTTTCAAAGAATAATAGGTGATTTTTAAAGAATAATAGGTGATTTTTAAAGAATAATAGGTGATTTTTAAAGAATAATAGGAGATTTTTAAAGAATAATAGGTGATTTTTAAAGAATAATAGGTGATTTTTAAAGAATAATAGGTGAAATTTGTTGTATTAATATGTGAAATTGGTAGAAAATATATAAACTTTTTAGAAATAACAGGAAAAATATAAAGAAATGTCAATTAAAATGGTAAACGAAAATGTATGAATTTTTGGTGAAATTACTGACACCTGTAGCCGAATGTATTCAATGACTATTCAATGAATTCGTGAAATTCATAATGAATATTCGACGATAATTCTAGAAACAAATTTTAAATAACAGTGAATAAAACTGAGATAATTTTTTTAATAGAGGAGATTGCTTGTAATATGAAACTGGTAAAGAAATCAGAAGGAATAATAGATGAAATTGGTAGTATCATGAAATTGGTAGGAGAGAGGGGTGAAAAAGCGCAGAAAAATAGTCGAAATTGAAATAATTGGTTTATGAAACCGAGGAATTTCTTCGAGCGAAATTTACAGAAATAATAAAAATGTTGAATGTTATAAAATGGGAATTTGTTTAGAAAACTGAAATAATTAGTAAGCACTGTAAAAATAGGAGATAAATAATAAAATAAAACTATGAGAAATTGGTAAATAAATGGTGCAATTAACAGAACAAATAAGCAAACCTTGCAAGAATTATATAAAATTACTCTGAATTCGCAGGTGAAAGTTAAACAAATATTAAACCCGTTTTCGTGTGTAATAAACTGAACCAAATTTAATTATGACATTTCGTGAGATAGTTTGGACATTTTTTAGAAATTTTAGTAAAATGTTAGTAAAATATTGTTAAATATTCATAGACTGTTATTGAAACCTATGGAGGAGATTGTAAAGTTTTTAAGGAAAATTTCAGAGATAATAGTGAAATTTAATGATTTTTTTATATAAGTTTTGGAAATAAAAGCAATATTTACAAAAATAATGATACTGAAATACCTACAGTATTTTTAATCGTATTATAATAGCAGAATTTAAGAAAAATAATAAAAACTGCAAAACTAATAGTGAAATTTAAGGACATAAAATTTAAAATTGTGGAGGTATTAAAATTCATAATGATAAAGTTAAATTTCATAAAATAATAAACAATTTGTAAAATAAAATTGAATATTGTCGGTAAATTAAAGAACACTAGATATAACAATGACCTTTAAAGAGATAGTTGTATATCTTTAGGAGTAATACCTACTTTTGATGAGATGATGAGACAATTTGAAGACACAATTGAAAATTTGAGAAGATATATGTTCAAAAATATGCAGGTAGTAAAATTTGAGGAAACTACGAACTACTTTCACTTGTTATCAAGTACTGTACTTGGATTTCAGTATATAAGAAATTTCAGTATATAAGAAATAAACAGCGCTCAGATATCTTTTTCCAACAACATCGATTTTGTTTTTTGGCTTAACTGGAAAAACTTTTAAAACATAATTCTATAATTATATTTCTATAATTATTGTTCTTTAACTTCCTATGTGTCAGTACGATGGTTGGAGTTAGAAAAATGTTAGTAAATAGATGGAATATTATTCCATGTTTGGCAAAGGGCTTCATTTAGAATGTTGTATTGAAGAAATAAAAAGTATGATAGGCTTATCCGAGTGGTAGGTGAGGCAAGCATAGGCCTACCTGTGTGATAGAGGCAGCCAGGCTAGCTAGTACTCTCTGAAGGGGAATTTTGTGTGTCTACTCTGTCTAATCTTTCTTTATATCATAAGCATTTGACACAAGTGTAAGGCTTCGTTAATAGTAAAACTCTGTTGTTCACTAATTAAAGTATTTAATCTTGACTAAATTTCTTAAATAATTCGCAGTATATATATATATATAAATAAATTAATTAAAATTAATTAAATAAGGGATAGAGATTCAGTACAACAAAAAAATCATATATTTTTGCTTCTTATGTAATGTGATATTTTCCTCCAGATGTGAAAACTTAAGTTCAGACTATCCAATTTTTTTTTTTATTATTATTTTTTAGCTTTCTAGTTAAATTGGCACGTAAAGCCCAATAAATTATTTATCTCCGTGAATTAAAATGTCTTCTTTTTCGATTCTTATTTTTTTTTATAATAATTTATTTTATAAAATAAATTAAAAATCTGTAATTGCCTTTTCTGTGTTGTTACTTCTTTTATGTTTAAAGGAAGTTATTTCGTGCTTGTCTACGCGCTGAACAAGTGCCGTCTGCTTGTTTTTTCTTGTTTGTTTTCAATCCCCAGTGCCGCGAAGCATGCCTAAATATGTACCAACATTTCTTGACCCTAAATCATTGCAAACTTCAAAGGAAAATAAAGAACAATTGCGACATTCTTAAGAAAGCCAAAAGTGTAAATTATGTTATAATCACATTTTAATTTCAGATTGGAAGAGTTTTTATGTATCCTCCTATCAACCCCCTCCCCCCCTTCCCCCCCTCCCCCCTTCGTCTCTCTCACAATTGCCTGCGTTAATTTCTCTTGTATATGTAGTATTATATGTACTACCGTTAATGTACATGTACTATTTGCATTTCTTTTTGTGTGTGTGTGTGTGATTACTTTTAACAACCTTTCAGAAAGTTGTGTTGATAGGTCTTATAACATTCAACATTTTTTTGTGATTTTTTCATGAGTTGGCCTTAAACATCAAATTTCATACCTATTTCATACATATATATACATGTGTATATACATCTTGTTATTCCTTCCGTAAAAACTGAGTTTGTGTTATATACATACATATATATAAACCAAAATGTTGATATTTTATTTTTATTATTTTTTGGGGGGTAGGGAGAGGGTGGAAACTTCTTTATGTATCTCATTTATTTTGAGTTCGGTTGTGTCTTTCAGAGTAGAGGATTGAATTTTTTGGTTTTTTTTTTTTTTTTTTTGCTTGTGTAAATTAAGAGCCCCGGAGACATTATTGATGGAGTAGTAAGGAAGTCCTGCAGGTGATAAAGATAGGGTGGAGAAAAGGGGTATAATGTTTGCTATCACCTCTCAACATCTTTTGCGGCCTCATGTTGATTTACAAGGTAGTGTGGATGGTACTGATTGACTCCAGACACAGGTAGATGATATAAGTAAGACATGGCTACAAAAAAAATGTATATATATTTTTATTTTTTTATTTTTTATTTTATCAATGAACAACCCTGTGTATTGACTTGTGTGTATGTGATAGACAGACCGGCTGATAAATTATATGATATCCTTTTGGAGTGTAGATTTGCTTCACTGAAGGTTTATTTTGAATCTAGTTGGTGTGAATGTGAGGAAAGGTAGACTGACGGCCAGGTTTACCACTCCCTTCCCAGCCTCCACTTAGAGCAAAAAAAAGGCGGTGACTACCATACACACAGCTTTGACGGACAGGGATGTGACAGTCCTTTTACCAACTGCCTTTGAGCATATTTAGCTGACATGTGCAGACTTCTAAAATCCATGAGAACCAATTAACTTATCGAAATTGCCTATATTTTTTCCAGAAATTGATTTTTTGCTGTTGGTTTTATATACTAAATTATGATATACCTACTTTCCTTCCCCCACAAGGCTTATAGGACTAAAGTATATTTGCTGGTTGGTCAGTAAGGTGGTGTGGTGGCCTTAATAGCCCTCCGGAGACCTTAAGACAAACATCAAACCCAAGCTTTCTGTTTTGACGCGTCGCCTATAAGGAAACGTTAAGGGAAGCTTTTGTGTAGCTAGAATCATTGATTAGAACAGTCTGATGGCACCTGCCAACATTAGAACCATCAGCTGCATCACCACCACCATCACCACCATCGTCAACATCATCACCCCTTACCACCACCACCACCACCCCTCAGCACCATCATTAGCAACATCACTAGCACTGCGATCACCACGACCGTCACCACCACTAACTCTATAACAACAAAAACACGGGTGAGACAGTCATGCAAGCCATGTCGACGCCAAACACTCTGAAGATACACATACACAAGGAAACCACAGCTTTCTAGTAGCCTGACGTTAAATCATGATTTTAAAATATTGCTGTCGTGGAATAAAGGTGAATATTAATATTGTATATAAATATATATATATATATATATATATATATATATATATATATATATATATATATATATATATATATATATATATATATATATATATATATATATATATATATATATATGAGCATGAGCGGGTTTCACTAGTGAGTGAGTTTCACGGTGTCAGGTGAATAATGCTGACCAAACCACACACCAGAAGATGAGGAGACGGCGACGTTTCGGTCAGTTATGGTCCGAACAATTAACGGACCGTTAATTGTTCGGTCCGACCTGTACCAGGTGAATGCATTTTTGTTCACGAAAAATACTCCTACTTCAGTCAATCACATACATTTTAGTGTTTCTATGTCTTAGCCTAGTGGTTTCAGACTGTTTCTATGTCTTAGCCTAGTGGTTTCAGACTGTTTCTAGGTCGTAGCCTAGTAGTTTCAGACAGTATTTCTGTCTTAGCCTAGTTGTTTCAGACTGTTTCTATGTCTTAGCCTAGTGGTTTCAGACTGTTTCTAGGTCGTAGCCTAGTAGT